TGCAAGAATGCTTTGAACTTAGTCCCCTTTATCACCAGCACCTGTTCCCGGAAACACGCACTGCTCTTCACGCATTGTCCTTGACTCAGATGTGATGAATAAACATCAAGGTTCTGAGTGGCTTGTGACATTTTGTTCCCTCAAAGCAACTGGTTATCCCAGACCCCTGCCTGTACCTTTGATTTGCCTTCACTCTTTCTTTCCTTTCCTGCAGTATGCAGATAGCTCCAGATAGGAGCTTAGAGTCCACTGCATAGTTCTCTAAAACAGGGCCTCTCTTTCTGTTTGTACTGGTCTTCCCTGAGAATGACAGCAGATGAGGACCTGTTAGCCACTAACAAGTGGTCACGGGGGCCCTGGGATCATGCTATAGGTAGGAGGCTGCTTAAATCTTCCTCTTCATTGGCTTATGAGACACACATTCAAGAGTAAAGGTGAAGGGCAGCCAGGTATGTACCAACTGTCGAGGGGTCACTACCAAAGCCCCTCAGGAGTCTGTATATGGGAAGCTCTGCCCTGAAAAAGTGTCCTTATGACATCCTCAGAGCATTAAATTATCAAGGTCCAAATGCTGAGAAGGAACAGAGCACAGGGATATTTTAGTGCAGGTATCTTCTGGAGCAGTTATGCCAAATTGCAAGACCAGTTGGACAGCTGGTTCTTTTCTTTCTTGCGTTTTAGGGTAGGTCAGATACTAACTCAACAGATAGTTCTTGAAGCTCACATTAAACTTTAAGGCATGAAGGACGATAAATAACACCCAGTCCAAAGTGTGAAAGGTTGGGAAACAAAACATGGGAATCTCCAATAGAAATCTCATGAAATAATTCTCAGCATGACGTGATGATAAAAATCACTCTTTAAAATTTAACTTGAGTTTCAGAGGTGGCTGAATCTTCAGCCTGTGTGATGCTGGGATTAAACTGTGTGACACTGGACTTAGGGTGTGTGGTTACAGAATCAGTCCACTGACTGGTTACACATAGAGGGATGACGGGAAGCCCATCCTGGGGGTGGGTGGCAGCATCTAATAGGTGGGCAGCCAGGAAGGGACAAAAGGGAGAGAGACTTTTGCCACATTGCTTGCTGCTGCTTATCCTGCTCGTTTGCCTTCTGCTTGCCATGAACTATTTCTCCTCTGAGACGCCCTTCTGCCATGCTACCCTGCCTTGGAACCAACCAAGTATGGATTAAAACTTCACCAACTGTGAGTAAACATGCCTTTCCTCCTTTAACTTTGGGTATCAGGTATTTTGTCTCAGCAATGAGAAAAATTATCTAAGCCATTACTATTTATAGCATTACTAGTTATCTAAGCCATTACTATTTACGTAAGCATTACTATGCTCCAGGTACTGATGGTACAGCAATGCAAATGGCAGGTGTAGTACTGCTCTCATGGAACTTCCATTTGGAAAAACACAGGAGGGCTGGAAAGGTCTGCATTACATTGGCTATCGAAGAAAGCTCTCTTTGAAGAGTTGACATTTGAGCCAAGATCCAAATGACAAGGAACCAGCCAAGTGGAAATTTGGGGGACAAGTACTTCAGGTAGAGAGGATGGAACAGCAAGTGCAAAGGCCCTGAGGCAGGAGCAGGCTTGGTGTTCTAGGTGATGGCACAGCAGCCTGGCTGGAGGCAGTGGGAGGAGGGGTTGGGAGTGACTTCAGGGAGTGCAGAGGCTGATGGAAAGAACCTGGGTTTTCCTTCAAGCCCAGCAAGGAGCCCTCAGAGAGTTTCAGTAGCTGATGGGCATGATTGAATTTATGTCTGAAAGATGGCTTTGCTTGTTTTGCAAAGAGTGGATGGTTGGGAGGGCACAGCAGGGAATCAGGAAGATCAATTCTGTGGTCAGTGCAAGATGGAGAAGGAGACCTGTTTGGGCAAAGCAGCTCAAGGAGAGGTGGAAAGAAGAGGATGAATTATAGGTAAATGGGAAAGGCTGAGTCTCAAATCCGCTAAACAAACAATAATAACCCTTAGCACTTTAGTAACAGTTCTATAAACTGCCTGTTGCTTTTACTTCTATGCAAATCTGAGAACCAGTTCTGGCTGGGCTTCTTAGCCTCACGGGTAGAGAGAGGAATTGGATGGCCTGGGATTAAAGGCTCATTTCAGTCCTCGTGCCAGGTCCACGGTCAGGCTGGAAGGGCAGGTGAGACTGTGGATGAGGGAAAACCAGCAGAGAGCTTGACACAGAGTAGATGCTGAGAAAACACAGGATGAGTCAATGAATGGGTGAATGGAAGAGGGAGGGAGGGAGGGAGGGAGGATGGGCGATAATTACTGAGGATGACTGCTGGGCAGAATGCTGGTGCTTCAGGCCGGCTCACAGTGACCGGGGAGAGCACAGCCTCATTCCCTGGCTGGGGAATGAGGGGATGGGGAGACTGAGGCTGAGAGTGGCGGGAGAATCTGTCCAAGGAAACTCAGATGTCACTTCTTCTATATGGTCAGATTCTGAAGGTGGATCTCAATGATGGCTTTACTTCTTTCTGGGGAGGAGGGTAGGAGGGAGAGAGGGAGAAAAGGAGAGGGAGATGGTGATGGGGAGAGAGACACAAAGAGAGAGACAGAGAGAGAGAGCGAGCGAGAGAGAGAGAGAGAGAGAGAGAGAGAGAGCAAAGGTGGGGGTCATTGAAGACTGGGCTTCTTTGTGGAGGCTCTACCCTTTTTGTGAGGCTGCTGGCTAATTCTCTCCTTACCCCACTCCACTCCACTCTTTCAGGAAAGGCTGCTGGTGACAGATCGGGTGACAGTGATTCCTCTGGAAAGGACCACTGACCATTCTGCTTCCATACGTGTCAGCATCAGTCTCATGGCCCTTGCCACTTGGGAAGGAGCCCTTGAAGCTATAAAGCACCTGGCCCACTTTTGTCCACCACTGCTCTGTTCTGTTCATGCACACAGCACCTCTCCCTCAACTGATGAGCGCTTCAAGACAAATCTGTCCCCATGGGAGAGCCAGGGATGGGATGGGGAATGTACCTTTAAGGAAATATCTGCTTCCTGCCAGGCCTACGGCACATGAGGAAGTGTTCAGAAGGCCCCAGCAGTTGGCATGTTTAAAGGGTATGTGTAGATGGATTGTATTCAGAAGGAGCGCTGATGGCTGGATTGTCTCTTGGTGAGCTGGCTCTCTGGCATTTGGAGACGGTGTGTCTTAGGGGAAAGGAGATCCTCCTCTGAACAGGGTGGTACTGGACCTCATCGTCTGAGCCCTGAATAGGAAGGACATTGTCCCTAGAGACAGCTAGGCTTGGCTTCCCACAGTGCCCTGCCAGACTCAATTTCCTTATCTATAAAGTGAAGATAACCATATACCCCTTTTAAAATTGTTGTGAATTGTAAATAAGGAGATGATATAAAGGTAGAGAGTGGGGCCCAGGTTGTGTACTCAGCAAATGTTAAATGTCCTCCTGTCACCCTGCCGCCCTGCCTTGGAGCCAACTGAGTATGGACTGAAACCTCCAAAAACTGTAAGAAATAAACCTTTCCTTTCCCAACTTTGGTCATCAGGTATTTTGTCTCAGCGACCAGTAAAAGTAACTAAGACACCTCCCCACCCTCCCCACACCCAACTTACCCCTGTACCTCCTCCCAGGGTGTTTGGGGGACATGCTATGATATGAGCTGCTGTGCTGGCTGGGGTGCTTAGTGAGGAGAAGGGTCAAACCCTACGTCTGTGTGGCTGCGGTAGCGACAAGAGAGCCTACACTGTGGAAGGAGTCCTTAGGATCCAGATAAAGTTCTGTGCACCTCTGAGGATGGCGACCCTTTCTAACCAGCGCTGAGACAGGTGGGAAATGAGCTCAGGGCAGGGTGCAGGACAGATGGTATTAAAGTCGGCCTGGAGGGCTTAGATTTGGGGAAGTGGGAGGTGAAGGGAAATTGAGTAGAAATAATATCTGGGGATGTATCTGTTGGTGCCAGCGAGGGAAGACCATAGTAGTTGTGCAGCCCTGCTTGGTTGAAGGACGTGAGGAGGAAAAAGAAATCTAAGAAAGTGTAAGTGCTCTTGTAACTCCGAAAAGCTTGAATTGCAGGCTGGGAAGTTTGAACTTTATGCAAAGAGACGAGGCGCTACTGAAAATCTATAAGCAAGACCAGAGTTTGCTGTGCCTTAGGCAGGTCAGTCTGGTGCACAGAACAGGGTTGGGTGGCAGGAGGTGATCACTAGAATGGAGGCAGAATTCCCACAGGGGCAACAAGAAAAGATGGGGTGGGAGGAGCATTTGGTTAACTCTTCACAAATTTTTTTGGTCTGCTTTTCATTATGAAAAATTTAAACACTTAGGACAGAAGGATTTGAAGGCATCCTAAGGAAAATTTAATGAATCCTTTTGTGTCTCTTCTTTGGCTTCCTCAGTGATAAATTGGGCCGACTTGGTTTAATCTCTAGTCCATTCATGTTTCACTTCCACAGTATTTTGTGGCAAGTCCAAGACACAAAATCATTTCATGGCTTCTGTAGTGCGCAGGAGGGGCAGTGTTTCTGGGGCCACACTGATGGGCTGTGCCACCTCGGTGTGGTTTGCCATGTGCTGGTCACATAACAACAACATTGGGGGCTGGGGATTTAGCTCAGCGGCATAAGCACCTGCCTTGCAAGCAGGCGGTCGTGAGTTCGATCCCTGGTACCGATAAAAATGAAAAAGACAAAAACAACAACATCATCACCACTACCACCACCAACGCCTTCAGCATAGGTCTGTTCCAGAGATGGCATAGGCCATCCTCATATTAAAGTAAATTACTTGTTGTTTATTTGAAATTCGAATTTAACCAAGGATCCTATGTGTATTTTGTTTTGATTTGGTTACATCTCACCATCCTCCCACCCTAGTCTTCTCATGGAAGCCAGAGGGAGCAAAACCCTTGTCCCAGGGCAGTGGCTCTCGAGGGTGGCCGTGGGACAGTATCCACAAAGCTGCGTCCAAAAGAGAAAACCCCAGACGCAGCTAGAGTGACACTGCACCCTGGGTTTGACATCTTCTGGGTGATTCTGATGGACGATGTGGTTTGAGGACCACTGACCCAGAGAATGATGTGCCACTCCCCCATCTGCTCCTCACTCTCGCCTCGCTCACCAGATACGGAGCAACACCAGGGACCCCACCAAGAGCTCTCCTCTGGGCGTCTGCGCCCTCTCCAAGACCGCCCGCCCGCCCAGGCTCTCCGGCTGCGCTCAGACGGCTCCGCGCTCCGCCTCAGGCATCTGCTCCGCCCGCTCCGGTCCGTTCCCGACCCGGCGGAAGGCTGTGAACCAGAGAATTAATTCTTCCGGCAGGCTTTTCCAGGAGCGGCGGGGCGGGGCCTGGCGGCAGAACGGCCACGTGCGTCAGGGGGAAGCCGGAAGTGGCTGCGGGAGTGGAGCCGTGGGAGCGAGCCGAGCGGGGGCTGATGGGAGTGGAGTGGGGGCTGCAGAGGGCACCCCGGTGAGTCGGCTTTTCTCTCCTTCAGCGCCCGCGGTTGGGCCCGAGGCCCGGGGTCCGGGCCGGCAGGACAGGAGTGTGGGACTTAAGGGCAGCACCTGGAGCTGGGCGAGGGGTGGCCCTGGGGAGACGAGGGAAGGGGGCTGGAGGGAGGGGAGGCTGGAGGCTTTGGCAGGTGGCAGCGGAGGGGGAAACCCCCTTCCAGCCTCTCCCCTCCAGGGAGACGGCCCGCGATGAGGTGCGGCCTTCTACAGTCCTCAGCCGTGATCCTCCTCATTCATTGCTTCCTGGTGGGTGTGTGGGGATCCCGGTTCCCTGAGAGCAGAGGTGGCTACTACAGCTAGCAGCCCAGTGGCTCCTCCTACTGGCTCTGAAATTTGACCGGGAACCTGTGTAACCTTCAGCAGCTTGGGTGAGGCCTGAGACTGTGCCTGTCCAACCTGTGCTGCTTCTCCGACCACACTTGGAGCAGCAAGGTATCAAGAGAACTTTCCCGCCGTCGCAGCCACCCAAACCTCAGTCTTCCTTGGCTTCCTCTGGTGTGAGCGGAAACTGTGCATGCAGGTTCACCAAGGCCTGGGCAGCCCAGGCGTTGTTTCTACTTCTTGCAACTTCGCTGATGTTTGCAGCTGACTCTTAGAAGCAGAGCCACAGGTGTGAAAAAGGGAGGAAAATATAGAGAGGAGACTGCAGGAATGCCTCCCAGGCCTCTGTAGCAGAATGTGCCTGCACCTGGGGGTGGTGCTGGCTTCTTTGAAGTTGGTGAGGGCTGAAGGAGCTTCTTGCCTGCTAACTCCTCAGGGCTGATGGTGTGAATATCCAGTTAATGAGGATGTCTGAGCCCCACAGTGTGAATGACTTTGGAGGTAACAGTGCTGGCACACCACACCCCTTTGGGGCTACTGTTCTTTACTGGCTGTACCAGTCCCCTACAGGGCAGGATGACTTATTGTCTAGGCTCTTAGTCTTGTAGACATCATTTCAGTTTCAGAAAAGTTGCCTTCCATGCTTTCTTGTGCATTAGAATCCCCCACGGAATTAGGTAAGATGCAGATGTAGTCTTCAGAGTCAGAGTCTGGCTTGGGACCTGAGATCTGTGTTCCTAGGTGGCCCTCAAAAGGGACCAGGTTTGGCCCCTGCACCACCACTCTTTGAGGAGTGAGGCTTTCCGACAGCAAATAGGAGACAATTTTCCAAGGGATGCTGGGTTGACAGTGGTCCTGACAAATTCAGGATGACAGGAATGTGGCCTTATCCCCCTCCTCACTTCTCAGGATGTTCAGGTGTAAGTGGGGATGGTTTAGAGGAGCATTTTCCTGTTGTGTTAACCACCAGGAGCACACATGAGTTCCCTCCTGCGTGATCACTAGCTCACAAAATCCACTTTGACTTTGGTTAGTTGTCAAACGAGTTGTTTGTTTTGTTCTGTAGCTGTTAAAAGGGGCCAGGGGAACTAAAGATATTTTGTATTGTGATCCGTCTTGAATGATAAATCATAGGAGGATAGCTCTGTGTCTTAGTAAATGTTGGAATTTCATCCACAAGCAGCTAGAAATAAACAATTGGAGTATCTTGAACCAGGTATCTTGGTTAAAAAAACACAAACCACTCTTCTAGAGTGTTTTAAAAAGATGACAATTGTAAATAGAACAGCTCCCTAAAAATTATCTTTTTCATTAATTAGTGTAGTCTCCATCCTGAGTTCTGTTGGACTATGGGGACCACGGTCTGAACAAATCATCTTTGTCTCAGAGATTTCCTAACAGCAGAGCCGGGTCTCACCTGGGTTTATCTTGGTTTGTCTGAGATCATATCCTTTCCTAGGTTGGAAGCTGGCCATGTTGCTGAACCCTTGGGTGTAAGGGCCCCTGTCACCCACTGCCACAGTTTCCAGGATCGACAGGGACAGCACATTGACTCTTGGTCTGTAGTCTCAGGGTAGCTGGCTCCTTAGTACTAAGGCTGGGCAAGACTGAACCCCCTGTGGTTGTGTCCAGCTCTGTGGGTGATAAGAAGCCAGTGGGAGCTGAATGAAGCCTTCGAGGCAAGCCCCTGAGCACTAGGGACCAGAGCACAGAGCTGTTCAACCCGTGAGCTCCTTTGCCCTATAACTTTGCACGGGGAAAGGTCTGGCTCCTTGTCATTTCAGAACGAGAACTTAAGCGCAAGAGGTTTTGGGCCCCATAAGAGGGAAGAGTGCTTGCCTTCCTTCTCTTGGTGGGCAGTGGTGTGACTCCAGCTTCAGCAGCAGCGTGCTGGGTTACCCTAGGGAAATGCTGCTTCTGCGTCTGTTTCCTTGTCTTTGCCAACTGTCCTGTCCAGGTAAGCTGGCCTTTCCCAATTCAGCAAGTATTTTTCAGAAACCACAAAACCCTATTTCAGAGGGTTGTGCAAAGGTATCACCCTTGTTCTCTAGCACCTAAGGTCGTGAAGACCAAGGAGGCCCACTCAGAGCCACTGCCCAGGAAGGGGATCAGGAACGACTTTGTCACGAAGTGGGCAGCAAGTGAGCTGCAGGGGATGGTCTGAGCTCTAATGGTGGCTGTGTGGGAGGAAAGTGCTCCAGGAAGGAACCGTGTGAACAGAGGCCTGGAGAAAGGACAGGCTGGAGATTCTTCAAGATGCCATAAAGAATTTGGTTGCGCTGGATGACTGTGCAGAGTGTAACAGGCATGGGCTTGACGAGGCTATGGGGGAATGGAAGGTCATTGGGTGGCATTTCCCCTGTAACAGTTCAGGGATTGAGAGCTCTGATTAAGAATTAGATGGAGAAGTTTAAAGGGAACCTGAGCTCGTTACTTGTCTCTGGAGGAGAGAACAAACCATGGGCAGGGACAGGTGAAATCTTCAGGATGAGCCTGAGATGAGCCCCTGGATGTGTCAGATCTTGGAACCCTTCCTCCTGGCCACACTATCTGCAGTCTTTGTACCTCTTCTCTGGAACTAGCTCTCAATGTTGCAGCATCTTGTGAGGCTCCCTGCAGGTCGCATATTGCTTTTTAGAGTTAGATACTTCTCAGTGCTGGGATGGAAAAGCTTAACCTGTGTGCTGGGCTGTTGAGGGCCCTTGGGTTGGTATGGCAGAAGGGTGCATGCCACCACTCCAGATAGAGACAACTTAAATGGGAGTAGGACACAGAAGAACAAGTGTCACCAAAAGGGACCTGTGGTGGCTGACCCTCTGCTCCTCTGCACACAGCTATATCCATCATGCTGCAAGGCCACAGCACTGTGTTCCAGGCCTTGCGGGGGACCTTCTTCACCTGGGGGATGACGGCAGCTGGGGCAGCCCTCGTGTTCGTATTCTCTAGTGGACAGGTGAGTTGCCTTGCTTTGGTTCTGCTGGTTAGTAGGCTCTTTTATGACCCTGCCTGCATGTGCAGGAGGTGGGTGGTTAAGTTTCCCTCTGTCTTCTTATTTTGTGCCCAGCTCTCTCCCCAGCCAGGAGAACAGGTACAGACACCATGCATTATCTTCTTCCTGCCTCTGACAGCCTAGTTTGAAGGGATTGGGGGTGAGGAACCCAACCTAACGTGTAGCTTCCATCTGATTTCTTTTGGGTCTGGAGTAGGGGACACTATGAAGATTGAATTTCAGATACAGCTGTCCTCCCCTGTGGCCTTGGCTTAGCTGGGATGATTAAAGAGACCTTGGGGGAAGCAAAGGATCTGCTGCTTTTCTCTTTTATCCCAGTCCTAGGACTCTGTATTCCTTTCCCTCGGATAACAGGCCACCTGCCCATGTCTCTGCAGAACCCACATTTCTTAATGCCATGCCCATCATCACCTTTGGGTTGAATATAGGTGGCTGCCTTCCCATGCTCCTCCAGACGCAACACCTCCCACCCCATGCCCCTGCGTCCTCCATGTATCCTATAGGTTCAGACCCTCTCTGCATCCTTGCTCACTCTTAGGCCCCTACAGACTAGCCCCAAACCTTTTATACACCCCTCAGCTCTCTCTTCTGCCCCAGACCCCTAAGTCCGTATACCTCTTCTATATACCCAACCCAGCCTCCCTGCACAGTATACACCTGCACAGCCCACACCCATGTCCCTTGCTTAAAGACTTTCCTCAAGCCTGGCCTCCCCCAACCCCAGACTCAGAGCCTCCCACGATGTCTTGACAGAATGCACGTGAGGTGTCTTAAGATCTACTTAAACTTACTGTGAGACTGATCTAGAAACAGGCACATTAGGAAGTTGGCAGGTCAGGCCCTCTTGTGTTAGGGACCAGTCCAGCCGGTATTGATTTCAGCAATAAGATCTTGCTTCCTACACGGCCTCCCAACCTCCTGGGGGAGGCTTGGAGCCAAGCCATCAGAGACGTGGAACACAAATCGCACAAGCTGGAATCACTGGGTCCAAGACACTTACAGATGGCAATTTCATAGAAATAGAAAGTGGAGTGGTAGGTGACAGGGCTTGGTGGGGAGGAATGATGCAGAGTTCTTGATAGAAAAGAACTGTGAACATAGATGGTGTATTTCTCTTAGTGTAATGCCCTCAAGGCTCAGCCGTGGTGTCCCACGTGCCAGTTTCTTTTTTTTTTTTTTTTTTTTCTGGTACTAGGGATCAAACTCACAACCTCATGCTTGCCAGGCAGATGCTTCTGCCGCTGAGCTAAATCCCCAGCTCCTCTTTTTTTTTTTTTTTTTTTTAAAGGCCGAGGAATATTCCTTTGTACGTGCATACCATGTTTTGTGTATCCACTCATCTATGGATGGACACAAACCTCTTGTTACTAGGATAGAAGACTTGTATAGAAAAGTGCACATTTTATAAGCACACAGCTGATCACTTTTCATAAATAACATGAAACTGTGCCCAGATCAAGTACCAGCCTCCTACAGCCCCTTCATGTCTCCTTCCAGACTGCCCCCTCTCCCCACCACCTCCACTCCACAGGTATGTCTCACAGCATGCGTGGTTTTTCCTAGTTTGGTGTTTTATTTAAATGGACTAATCTTTATACAGTAGGCGCTGGTCCGTGTGTGCATGAGTTCATTCTGTTTGTTTCCCAGTTTGCTTTATGTCCTGGCCTGTTGTATATATATAGTTATAAGTGCACACAGTGTATGCAAACGTTTTCTCATTGTCCTGTGATCCTCTGTTGTATGAATGTAGCCTAACTGCTGTATCTGTTCTTCATCTGGGGAATTTGACAGTTTTTGGTTTTGGTGTCTCACATGCCGTGCTGCTGTGAACATTTTTGCAAATGTGTGTGGCGAGTGTGAGTGTGCGTTTTGTTACTTATTACTCAGGAGTAGCAGGAGGTGCAGTCACTTGTCTCCGGTGCCATCTAAAAGTTTTCTAGCACGGTCATGCTGGTTTGTACCCTGATCTATGAGAGGGGTTGTTGTTTGCCTGTATCTCCCTGACCTTTGGTAATTTCCATTTCTTAGAGCAGCTACTTACTAAAGTTCATGGTGGTAATTTGCAGGGGGAGCTGAGTAAGAAATCTCCTGTGGGGCCTTTGCACCCCTGCCGCTACAGGATGGGATACTTCTGACCAGTTCTGGGAGGGATGGGACATTTAAAAATTTCTTTTCCCTTGGTTCATGGCCTGTTTTGTAAACTCAGGAGGTCCCAGCTAAGGAGTGGACTTGTGGCTCTCTTGGGACTCAGTGGACCAGTTGCTCTCTTGGCCTGGGGCACATCGTGCTGCTGTCCCCCCAAAACTGAAGCACTTTCTTTTCGTTTTCAGAGGCGGATCTTGGATGGACGCCTTGGTTTTGCCGCAGGGGTAAGTTGCATTTAGAAGTGTCAGTGGAGATACATTTATTTTGAAGTGTAATCTAGATACAACTCTGGATTCTCCAAGTGCTTGTGGTTTCCCATATTCACTTCCCAGCTTATCGAATGCCCTGCTTCTCCTTAGATGGTGAAAGAGGAAGCTTGTGGGTAGCTGCCTCAGGACCTAGCAAGGGCCTGGGGGATACACAGCATGAATTAAATATTCCTCCCTCCCCCTTGTTTCTTTCTTTCTTTCTTTTCTTTTTTGGTTCCAGGGATTGAACTGTGGACTGCGCTCTTGCAAGGGCATTTATGCCACTGAGCTAAATCCCCGACCTTCCTCTTGTTTCTTACTAAAGGACTTTTTATTATAAACATTTTCAAACATGTAAAAAAACTGGAAACCCATATACATCTCAGGTACCCACCCCCCAGCTTAAATCGGGATTCACATTTTGCTGATCTCATTTCATTTGTCTTATTCCAGGCTTCTGGAAAATTGGAGTATTTTGTACCATTGAATTCAATATGTAATTTTGCCTGTAACTTCAGTGTACATCTTTAACCGAATGACTTAAAAAAAAATGAGAATCACCAATACTGTTACTACATTTACTAAAATTAACAGTAATTTCTTATTAAAAACCAATACTTAGTCTATGTTCAAATTTCCTTTTTTTTCCCAAAAGAGTCTTTTAAGATTGTTTTGGTAGAATTGGGATCCAAACAAAATTTTCATGCTGAATTTATTGCCTTTTAAGTCTTTTATTCTTCAGTGGTCCCATTTTTTTCAAGATAGTAATTTGTTGGTAAAACTGGGTTGGTCATTTGTTTCCAGGATATTTGGAGTTTGGCCTACTGCTTGCTTGTGTCATATAACTATCCTGAGTCCCCTCTGTCTCCTGTAAACTTGGAGTCAGACCTGGGCTTGATTAATTCAGATATCATTATAAATCTGTCACAGTAATGCTGTGTATTCCTGTCATTTTGGTGATATTGAAAGACACATACATGGTTTTCCCTTTTAGTTGATAGAAGTTTGGTTCCTTTGTGCTGTCTTATAGGCCTATGACTGGAAAATCTTTTTGAAGGGGGGACCTTGCTGAGGTCATCCACATGGGCAGCTATCAGACGAGGGCCTATCTTGGAGAACACAGAGGCTTTGCAGCCTGGCCCATCTGTGCTGATGGCTAGAGTTAATCAGTGTCTAGGTCCTAGCTTCTGGGTTGTTTTACTTTCTCACAGCTGGAATGCAGTATCTGACACCAACTGAAAAGAAGAGAAGTTTATTTTGGCTTGCGTTTTGGAAGTTTCAGGCTTTGCCTGGGTGGCAGCGTGGTGGAAGGGCCTGGGTGGAGGAAGGCTTCTCTCCTCAAGTCCAGCAGGAAGCAGCGCATCAAGGGAGGAATTAGCAAGGGTGAAGTACCCTTCTGGACTGCGTCTGCAGTGACCTGAGACTTCCAGCCAGGCCTTACCTCCTACCAGCAAGTCAGCTACTATGGCCTTTCAGACACTTGAGACACTTTCCAGACACTTGAGGTTTTAGATGGAAGCCATCACACCTGTGTTTTCTTGCTAGTGCTGCTGTATCTAAGGATGCCCCAGAAGTGGTCCTCTTTTCCTCCCTTTCCTTGGACAGATTCCTTCTCTCCCAAAAGAGACAGGCTGTCTCTTGTTACCTTGTCTCTAGCTAGCAGCACCTCCAAGCTTGAATGGAGGGCTCGTTGGTACTTTGGTGTTGGTGTGGGGAAATAAGGGGAAGAACCCTAATTACTAAGCACTGGATGTAGATCCTTTAGCAATGTAGCTACTATCCTGATTTTTAAAGATGACTCTAATCAGATTGTCAGTGGTGAGATCCTTAAAGTAATTTTCCATGAGTGACTACTTTGGGATCTGGAGCTGGTAACTTAAAAGTTGAAAGGACAGAATGACAATATTAGAACACTTCATTTTCCTCTTTCTCCCCCCTTTCATTTTCACAAACATATTTTGTTTTCTTATGTTTATAAAGAGAAAAGAACCCAAAGAAAAATAGTTAACATGACTTATTCTAATAATGTCTACTTAATAATTATTAACAAGTGTGTGAAAGAATTAAAAAGTAAGAAAGGCCCACCCATTAACATAAGCATTTCTAACAGTATTTAACTTTTTACTCTTTTTTTTTTTTTTTTTGGTACTCGGGATGAAACTTATGACCTCATGCTTGCCACACAGACATTTATGCCACTGAGCTAACTCTCCAGCCGAGTAGTTTAACTTTTTAATGTTTAATAATTATATGAAGTATTATTAGTGGTTGCTATGTCTTCTGTATTAGTTATAATTGTAATAATAAGGCATTCCAGGAAATCATTTTTTAAGCATAGAGCCTTATACTACAGGAAACTTTCAAAAATTAAATTGCAGTATGTATAGATATTCATATGGCAAAGAAATATGATGATGCAATAAATTATACATTTTACAGTATAAAATACAAATTTCTTTAGGCTAGGATTCTGAAATTAAAATACAAGTCAAGAACAAAACAAGAATGAAATAAATTACTGGCTTCAATGAAAAATTTGCTTCTGATGGATCTTTTTGTGTGTATATTTAGGTGGAATATAACATGGACATGAGCCTGCATAAGACAAAGACACACTGCATAGTTTATATACTGTATTTTTAACTGGACAATTATGGCAACAAAATGTATATGCTACTTAGATCCTGTATTTAAAAGTTGCTAAAATAGTTTGTTTCTGTTTTTTGTTTGTTTTTGCAGTCCTGGGGATCAAACTCAGCGCCCTGTATATGCTAAGCAAGTACTCTATCCCTGAAGTTATACCAGGGCCCTGCTGAAACAGTTTTATTTAAATAAATTAATATCTCTGCACTGTAAGATAGAAACATTTTCAATGTCCACTCATAAATGATTGGTGAAGTATCTTGTTTTTCAGCATTCCTGCAAGAGGTACATAGATGTGAAGATCAAAGAACCCTATTCTTTGGTGTCTTTCTGCTTCTGGCCAGACATGTGGGTGTCTTGTTCAGAGTTTGTTTTTATCAGTCAATACTCTTTCAGGATTCAGATACAAATGATAAAAAAAAGCAAACCAGTGAAAAGAGATAAAGCGTAAGTCGTTAGGACCTATAAGAACGAATTCTGAAGCATCAAAGCATGAACATGTAAGATGCACTTTCTTTAAAAGCTCATGACGCTGTAGATTAGCATGTTTACTTAACTATGGGGATCTGAAATAGTTTTACATAGTTGGTAGGTAAAAAGAATTCTAGAAGTTATGTGTGTATATTTATCAGAAAATAAGTCTCAGGGGAAGCAGTTTTTCCCCCAGGGCACAGTTGTGATTTTCGATTATCTCAGCTGTGTCTAGTGGGTAGAGGCCTGTGATGCACAGGACAGGATGCTTCAGAAGCAAAGAATGCACAAGGTGTCAGAAGTGTTGAGACCCAGAAGTCTTGGTCTAATTGCAGTTTGGTGTCATCACCTATAGCTACCATGTGAGGTTTTAAATTTTCAGATATAATGTTGAAGAAACACAAAGTTTCCTTTCCTATCCTCTTGGCTTCCCAGAGATCACTGCTATGTCCCCCAAGCATGTGTCTTTGAAGAATGTTGTTTCCTTATACACATACGAAGTATAAGAACAGGCAAGACGCGATGGTGCCAGGTCTCCTAAAGACATTGCTTCCTGTTAGTCAGCTTTCTGTTACTGTGACAAAATACCTGAGATAAACAGTTTAATGGAGGAAGGGTTCTTTTTGGCTTGGCGTCTCAGGGATTTCTGACCATGGCTGGCTCCACTGATTTTGAGAACAATGGTGGCAGAGGAAAGCTGCGTGCCTCATGGCTGTCAGAAAGCATAGTGAGAAAGCCAGAGAAGAAAGTCAGGGGTCAGGTGGATTCCCTAAGGTCAGTTCCCATCATCCACATCTCTTTAAGTAGGCCCCACCTCTGTCTCCTTCACCTTCCAGTAATGCCGTCAGCTTACAGTCTGAACAGTGGATTGCTCCACTTGATAAAGTCACTTCTTCAAAAGCCCATCAGCCAGCAGTGTTAAACTTTAGAGGACATTTCAAATCCAAATCATAACACTTCTGTAATCCAGCACTGAATGTTGTGAGTGAATATCTGGAAGAAGAAAACTGGCTCTGAATTGATTGACCAGGTTTCTGGTGCTCCTAACCTGTTTTTCCAGTCTTCTGTGCTGACGTTTGTGTGTGTGTATTGTATATGCACTACAATATATAATGCTACAGTGACGGGCTTACTCAAGATGTAATTGTTTCTCAAAATGAGTGTTCCAGTAAGAGTGATTCCTGGGATACAGGACATGTATATTTTAAATATATTAAGGAATATATTCACAGGTTATTATTTTCTCATTAGCAGGGTCTTGAAAGTATGAATCAGTTCCCCTTAAATGATTCCAATTGGAATCTCTTTATTTTTCTCCAAATTCTTTAAGTCACTTTCCAAGTCAGAAATTGTCTTTCTTGCTCTGGTTCTGATGTTGATTTATATCTAAATTAGGAGTAAAACTACTAGGGAGAACTGCTACCATTAAGAAAAAAAAAGATAGTCATTATTGCTGGTTAGATTCATAGAATAATATATAGAATAGAATAATTATTCCTAGAATAATTAAATCTGGAAAAGACTCGAGATGATTATAATGCCTAGTACTTATTAAGCCCTTATTATGTTCAAGGTGCTTACCAAGCGACCATCTAGTTTAATTTTCACGACATTTCTATGAAGGTTACACTAGGCATGTATATGATTCTCTCCCACTTTGCATGCACAGTGAAGGTAAATGAACTATTCAGTATCATTCTGAACATTGGAACCAGCCTCACAGACGATCTCCTATCCTTAAACCACAATGACTCAGTGACACGTTTACACAACATGGTATCTGGCCCAACTGCCTCTCTGTACAGCCAAGAAGCAAGTGGGCATGTAAATGACTTATACAGAATTGAAAATTGCTAGATAGC